GCGCAGGCTCAGCGGCCATGGCTCACGGGCCCAGCCGCTCCGCGGCACGTGGGATCTTCCCAGACCGGGGCACGAACCTGTGTCCCCTGCATCGGCAGGCGGACTCTCAACCACTGCGCCACCAGGGAAGTCCTACATGTCTCTTTTTGAATTATGGTTTTCTCTGGGTATATGCCCAGTAGTGGGATTGCTGGATCGTATGGTAATTCTATTTTTAGTTTTTTAAGGAACCTCCATACTGTTCTCCATACTGGCTGTATCAATTTACATTCCCACGAACAGTGCAAGAGGGTTCCCTTTTCTCCACCCTCTCCAGCATTTATTGTTTGTAGGTTTTTTGATGATGGCATTCTAACTGGTGTGAGGTGATACCTCATTGTAGTTTTGATTTGCATTTCTCTAATAATTAGTGATGTTGAGCATCTTTTCAAGTACCTCTTGGCCATCTGTATGTCTTCTTTGGTGAAATGTCTATTTAGGTCTTCTGCCCATTTTTTGATTGGGTTGTTTGTTTTTTTGATATTGAGCTGCATGAGCTGTTTGTATATTTTGGAGATTAATCTGTTGTCGGTTGCTTCATTTGCAAATATTTTCTGCCATTCTGAGGGTTGTCTTTTTGTCTTGTTTCTGGTTTGCATATTAAAAGGATCTTACACCATGACCAAATGGGATTTATCACTAGGTGCCATGATGGTTCAGCATCTGAAAATCAACCCATGTGATACACTACATTAACAGAATGAAGAATAAAAATTACATAATCATCTCAATAGATGCAGAAAGAACATTTGACAAAATTCAACACCCTTTCGTCATTAAAAACATTCAATAAGCTAGGATAGCTTGTTGAATATGAAAAGCCCACAGCTACCCTCATACCCTGTAGATCCTTTCTTGCCTTTAAGGATTGGATAAAAGATCTAGGTGTCCTTTGTGTCTTCTGAAGTCCCTGTGTAAATATGGTTGTGTAAGAGAGATGCTCTTTCTTCAGGATGGACACCTCCAGCGTGAAGTTCGATTCCATCCTGTCTCTGTTGCCAGCTGTGTTATCTGTTGCTGCAACTAAGTTAGTTGTCCTCCCTTGCAACTAACTTAGCCATCTTCATTTCTTCTCTCCCTTGGAGCCCACGTAAATCATACCTGTTAAACATTGTTATGATGCTGCTACATGACAACCCTTTCAAAAACACCTGGTGGCTTAAAACAATAACCATTCATTTTTCTCACGGTCTGCAGGTCAGCTGGGTGGTTTGATTGGGTCAAAGCCAGCTGCTCTTGGCTGGGCTCACTCATGAATCTGTGCTTGGCGAGCCTGGATGATCTAGGATGGCCTCAGTTGAGATGACCCACCTTGACTCCATGTGGTCGCTCATCTTCCAGCATCTAGCCTAGGTTTCTGCTCATGGCAGAAGGCCAAGGAAGAAAGCAGAGGCCGCGTCGCCTTTGGGGTCTAGACTCAGTACATGCATGCTGTCACTTCCACTGCATGTCCCAAGGCCAGCCCTGATTCAGGAGCTGGAGAAATAGACTCTACCTCTTAATGAAGAAGAGCCGCAAGGTCCCACTGAAAATGCTGTAGAGGCAGGAACAGGTAGAGAATCTGAGCCGTTTCTGTGTTCAGTCCACCGTGTAGATAGGGAGTCAGCAAACGTTTTCTGTAAATGGCCGAATAGTAAACATTTGAGGCTTTGGGGGCCATTTGGCCTTTGTCATAAATACTCAACTGTGCCGTTGCGATGTGAAAGCAGCCACAGACAATATGTGGAGTGGGCATGGCTGTGTTCCTCTAGAACTTATTTACAAAGCCAGGCAGCAGGCCGGATTTAGCCCACAAGCTGCAGTTTGCTGTGCTCTGACCTCGACGATCCAGACCAAGTAGGAATCTCAGATGCAGGATCTAGGATGCTGTCCTTCCTGAAATCATAAGCAGAGGTGTCCTCTGCCAGCAGAAGTGCTCTTATTGGAGAGAAGAAGTAAAACCAGGTGAGAGGAGCAAGGGCTCCCCTCTAAGGTGCAGATGACTGTAGTTGACCCTTGAACAACGTGGGAGTTAGGGACACTGACCCCCAGCGCAGTCGAAAAGCCGCATCCTGCTCTCACTGCCTCAAAACCAAAGGAATTGATGAATGACTCACCCAAGGGCAGGAAGCTGAAACAGTCTGGATAGAATCAGGACTCAAACCCTAGTTCTTGTGATTCTACATATTGGGCTCTCTAATCGAACACAAACTTTTCCCCTCACGTAGGTAAAGAACTGTAAAACGAAAATACAGGTATGATATTTATTGAAAAAATCCACGTATAAGTGGACCCACCCAGTTCAAACCTGTGTTGTTCAAGGCTCAGCAGTATTTGCATCCCTTTGGGTGCCATATTGAACTTACACAGGTTAAGTTTATTTCTCATCAAGTCCTTGGAGTTCATTCCTTTTTGTTCCTGTGTTTGGCTGGATTCTCATTTCCTATCCATCTATATCTCCCAGGGGATCCCAGATAGAATTCTTTCCATTTTTATTTTCTTTTCTTAAATTTTTTGGCCATGCTGCACAGCTTGCGGGATCCTACTTCCTTGACCAGGGTTCGAACCCCTGCCCTCAGCAGTGAAAGTGCAGAGTCCTAGCCACTGGACCACCAGGGAATTCCCTCTTTCCATTACTTCTGACCTGGATGCCCTCTTCTTACACTTCTGGTCCTCCTGTCTTTCTTAACCCGAGCTTCAGAAGCGAAGTCACCACCTCCTTCTGGGCCCCCAGGGAAAGCCTCCAATTAGATCTACGGATTAGATCATGTTTATTTTCCTTTACCAATTATGCGTCTGATTGTCAGGACCATGACATGCTCCACCAAAGTTTAAAGATACATTTGTTCTCCAGAGTGACTTTTTGTTTCAGTCATTATTGCCTGGAGTTGTTGCTTGACTAGAGATTTGGTTAAATTTCAGGTAACATGAACTTCTTTTTAATAGAATGTCCAAGTGTCTGCAATTCTTCGATCTGCTGGCTTGGTGTTACTTACACGGGCTACCCATTGTGGGTCAGCAGCCTGCCATCTTCTTTTTCCCATCAGAGATTTTCTTTACCACATATAATACAAGGCTATTACCATCTTGTGTTTCTAGAAATGAAATCTTTGCTTTCTAATTTTATTTCTTCCCTTTTATTATTGGTTGCTACTGACTTCTGCAATATGATTCTTCCCTGGGCATTCATCAGTGGGTATAGTTTTCAGCTTGACATGGCTCAGACTTCAAACTTTTAAAGTAGCAAAGTTGCACAGACAGTCAATAAGTCAATAACTATCGCCATTTTATTGCTTGTAAGGTGATTACTCCACTTTGCCTGTAGCGACTTTTCAATTTGATCAAAATGCAGTTTTGTCAGGTCGTGGTTGAGTCCTCCAGATATAAAAATACATAAAGCAATTGAGAGAAGCCTGTGCTCAAATATTTTAATAACTACCCTGCACTTCTTTAACCATCTTATTCCGGCACTTTTGTGGTTCCCGTCGTATAATTCAAATTTCCATCCTCTTTGCCAAAGAAATTTTGATTTAGTGCTTATTCCAACCTCTTGTCTTTGTAAGAGTGTATTATTTTTCTTGCTAACTGGTGGTGAGCATTGGTCCTGCTGCAAAGAGTTTTCTCTGTGTCAAATTATTTCCTGTGTGATCTGTAAATCAGGTTCTGATGGTGGTGTAACATGGAAGATGTCTTGGTTTATTTGAGATTGTTTTCCAGACAAGGGGAGGCAGAATAATAGGAGTGGAATTGTTATCTTAGGCAGGAAAGGAAGAAATCCTCCACTTTGCTACTGCCCTGGCAGCAGGCACCCTTTTGACTGTATTTTAAGGAAAATTAGAAGTGAGGGCCTGCACTCGGGGCTGCTTGTCCGGGGCAGTGTGCTGCCAGCCTGGTATGGCTCTTGGTTTGTCTTAGTCTGTTCGGGCTGCTATAACAAAATACCACAGACTGGGTGGCTTATAAACAACAGACATTTATTCCTCACAGTTCGGGAGGCTGGCAGTCTGAGATCAGGGTGCCAGCATGGTCAGGTGATGGTTCTTTTTCCAGTCACAGATTTCCTGTTGTGTCCTTACATAGTGGAAGGGGCAGAGGAGCTCCCTGGGGCCTCTTTTATAAGGGCACTAGTCCCATTCTTGAAGGTACTGCCCTTATGACCCAATCACCTCCCAAAGACCCCACCTTCTAATACCATCCTTTGGGGGTTAGGCTTTCAATGTATGAATTTGGGTGGGGAGACACACACGTTCAGACCATAGCATGGCTCACGTGGCAGGTTGTCCTGCCTCCTTGTCATCCCCATGGCATCCCCCCCGGCCCCGGTGCAGAGGACCACTCCCTCTGTGGATCACCTTGGCTCCCACCAGTGAGTTAAGTCTTAGCATTTTCACTCTGCTGTTGCTGTACCTCTCGAGTATCCGCAGAGGTTGTCTGCCTCAGTGGTCCACTTTATCTCCCAGGAGAACTGGTTACTGGTTTGACTACAGTGATTTGGTTTTGAGTGGTATGCCTCAACCCTGTTTCCCCCAGGCCTCTCATGTTGATGCCCTGCTTTTGCAGAATGTGAGGTTTTCCAGAAATGGTTATAGTTGACCCTCATTATGAGCGGTTCCGTATTTGTGAATTTGCCTGCTCACTAAAATGTATTTGTAACATCCAGGGCAATACATGGGGCGCTTGCCTGGTCAGTGCACATGCAGAGCCTCAAAAAGTTTGAGTTGCCAGGAATGCATGATCCCAGCTGAGGTTGGAGAAATTGGTGCTCTGCCGTCTTGTTTCAGTGCCCAGACCAGAAACAAGCATTCTTTTCACAGTCTCTTTAGTGCCATATTTTTCGCATTTTTGTGCTTTTTTTATTAGTAATTTTGCTGTTTCCAGTGGCCTTGAAATGCAGGGCAGGAGTGTCTGTAGTGTTTCTAAGCACGAGAAGGCTGTGCTGGGCCTTATGGAGAGAATATGTTTGTTAGACAAGCTTCCTGCAGCGTGAGTGACAGTGCTGTTGGCTGTGAGTTCAGTGGATGAACCAACGATATATATTTGATAAGGTGTCTTTAAACAGAAACACACAAAACAAGGTTGTATATTGATTGGTTGCTGAAAATGTTGTGGCCAGAGGCTCGAAGGAACCTAACCCCGTAATTTCTCTTGGGGACGGTGATTTAGTACTCACTAATTCGGTGGCCATGGTGACTTTATAGCACAAAACTACCACAAATAATAAGAAAGTAACGTTTGTCAGAAACAGACTCACAGACTTAGAGAATGAACTTATGGTTACTGAGGGGAAGGGTGGAGGAAAGGGATAGTTAGGGAGTTGGGGATTGACATGTACACCTGCTGTATATAAAATAGGTAACCAACAAGGACCTACTGTGTAGCACAGGGAACTCTGCTCAATATCCTGTAACAACCTAAATGGGAAAAGAATTGGAAAAAGATACATGTATATGTATAACTGAATCATTTTGCTGTACACCTGAAACCAACACAACATTGTTAGTCAACTATACTCCAATATAACATAAAGAGTTTAAAAAAAGAAATTAACGTTTGTGTCTCCCCAAAATTCATATGTTGAAACCTAATCCCCAGTGTGATGGTATTGGGAGGAGGGGCCTTTGGGAGGTGATGAGGTCATGAAAGCTGAGTCCTCATGGATGGGATTAGGGCCCTTATAAAAGAGACCCCAGAGAGCTCCACCAGATGAGTAGATGGCCATCTGTGAACAGGAAGTGGGCTCTCACCAGACACTGAATCTCTAAGTAAGTGCCTTGATCTTGCACTTCACAGCCTCCGGAACTGTGAGAAATAAATGTGTGTTGTTGATAAGCCACCCAGTCTATGGTATTTTTGTTATAGCAGCCTGTGCTCACTAAGACAGACTATATGTATCTTTCATCACAGCAGAGGTGTCTATGCTGAAATGTCTTTCCTGTGCAGGAAAATAGCACACGTGGATTGTTCTGCCAGGTCTGTGCAGATGTTCTGCTCACGTTTTTAACGACAGGTTTTCTCTCCCAGGTGTAAGTAGCATGGTCAATGCAGGAGCGATGAGTGGCTCTGGAAACCTGATGGATTTCCTTGACGAGCCGTTCCCTGATGTGGGGACGTATGAGGACTTCCACACCATCGACTGGCTGAGGGAGAAGTCACGGGACACCGACAGACACAGAAAGGTACATGCTGTTCATAAGGACACTGTGAGGGGAATCCCTTCGGAGGGCTGGGGGCCATGCTTTTATCAGAGAGTCACTGAGCTAGAGCTTGGGTTCATGTGTTGTGTGCTGAGCTAGGTTCTAGAGAAGAGAAGGGCTAGTGGGAGAGGCAGAGATGTGGACAGGTAATTCTAATACCAGGTGCTTTGGGTGGAAGGCTATGTCATACAGAGGTGTAGTGTGGAGGGCAAGGAGGGGGGCTCTGGAAACAGACAGATTGGGTACATCCTGACTTTGACATCTTTAGGCTGGCTGACTTTTGGGGTGCCATTTCTGGACCCCATCTTCTCATCTGTAAGGATGGAGTTAATTATACCAGAAGATTAAATGGGGCTGTATGTGTAGGAAAGCACATATTACAGTGCCTGGCCTCTTGTAGGCAGTCAATATATATTTTTATGGGCTGCAGTAAAGTTATGTATCAAGTGCTGTGGGATCATTTAGGAGGGATGGTTAGGGAGGGAGTTTTTAGAGGGCGTGAGATTTCAGTGGGGTCTTGAAGGATGACTAAGAATTTGCCAGGCAGAGGAAGGGGAAAGGATTCTCATCAGGAGTGGCTCATTTAGGCAGTTCAAGGAGCTCTAAGGTTTGGTGGCAGATTCACGGAAGGGGAGAACTAGAGATGAGTCCGGCCACGTGGGCGATGGGGCCACATTGGGAACCACTGAGTAGACCATGAAGAGGAGTTTAGATTTCCTTTTTTTCTTTTAAGATTTATTTTATTATTTATTTATTTATTTAATTTATTTATTTTTGGCTGCAACGGGTCTCAGCTGCAGCACACGGGATCTTCGCTGAGGCATGAGGGATCTTTTTGTTGTGGCACGTGGGCTTCTCTCTAGTTGTGGTGGACGGGTTTTCTCTCTCTAGTTGTGGCGCACAGGCTCCAGGGCGCATGGGCTCTGTAGTTGTGGTCTGTAGTTGTGGCGCACGGGCTCCAGGGCGCGTGGGCTCTGTAGTTGTGGTCTGTAGTTGTGGCACACAGGCTCCAGGGCACGTGGGCTCTGTAGTTGTGGTCTGTAGTTGTGGCGCACGGACTCCAGGGCATGTGGGCTCTGTAGTTGTGGTCTGTAGTTGTGGCACACGGGCTCCAGGGCGCGTGGGCTCTGTAGTTTATGGCACGTGGGCTCTCTAGTTCAGGCGCACGAGTTCAGTAGTTGTGGTGCGTGGGCTTAGTTGCCCCGCAGCATTTGGGATCTTAGTTTCCTGACCAGGGATCGAACCTGTGGCCCCTGCACTGTAAGGTGGACTCTCCACCGCTGGACCACCAGGGAAGTCCCTGGATTTCCTATTTATTTATTTATTTGTTTGTTTGTTTGGTTTTGGCTGTGTTGGTTCTTCACTGCTGTGCGTGGGCTTTCTCTAGTTGCGGAGGGTGGGGGCTACTCTTTGTTGTGGTGCGCTGGCTTCTCATTGCGGTGGCTTCTCTTGTTACAGAGCACGGGCTCCAGGCGTGCGGGCTGCAGTAGTTGTGGCGCGCGGGCTCTAGAGCACAGGCTCAGTAGTTGTGGCACACGGGCTTAGCTGCTCTGCAGCATGTGGGATCTTCCTGGACTGGGGTCAAACCCGTGTCCCCTGCAATGGCAGGTGGATTCTCAACCACTGAGCCACTGAGAAAGCCCTGGATTTCCTTTTCATGGCCACAGGATACAAGAGAGGTGCACTGCCATGCTCTATATGGCTCCTTCTGTGCTACAACAGCAGAGTCCGGTAGTTGCCACGGAGACCAACTGACCTGCCGAGCCGAAAATATTTACTTTCTGTCTCTTTACGGAAAATGTTTGCCAGCCCTTGCTCTAAAGGGTTATGAGGGGAATGATGGTCTCAGGAATGTAGGATTCTGTTAACACAGGGAGGCAAACGGGTGCTCTTACGATGTGTTTAGATGCAGCCATCTGCCTGGAAAGCGTGATCCAGGCTGGCTCCTTCAGCCTTCTTGCTGTTAATCAAAACTACAATGAGGTATCACCACACACCGGTCAGAATGGCCGTCGTCAAAAAAGCTACAAACAGCAATGCTGGAGAGGGTGTGGAGAAAAGGGGACCCTTCTACACTGTTGGTGGGAATGTAAGTTGATACAGCCACTATGGAGACCAGTATGGAGGTTCCTTAAAAAACTGAAATTAGAGTTATCATGTGATCCAGCAATCCCACTCCTGGGTATGTATCCAGAGAAAACTCTAACTCAAAAAGATACATGCACCCCAATGTTCATAGCAGCACTATTTACAATTAGCAGTATCACGCCTCAGATAAACCTCATTGGCTATGATACTGCCACTGCACAAAGCTAACAGCACTATTCACAATAGCCAAGACATGGAAGCAACCTAAATGTCCACTGACAGAGGAATGGATAAAGAAGGTGTGGTACATATATACAATGGAATATTACTCAGCCATAAAAAAGAATGAAATAATGCCATTTGCAGCAACATGGATGGACCTAGAGATTGTCATACTGAGTGAAGTAAGTCAGAGAAAGACAAATACCATATGATATTGCTTATATGTGGAATCTAAAAAAGTGGTACAAGTGGACTTATTTACAAAACAGAAATACACTCACAGACATAGAAAACCAATTTACAGTTACCAAAGGGGAAAGAGGGTGGGGGAGGGATAAATTAGGAGTTTGGATTAACAGATACACGCTACTATATATAAAGTAGATAAACAACAAGGACCTACTGTATAGCACAGGGAACTATATTTAATATTTTGTAATAACCTATAATGGAAAAGAATCTGAAAAAGAATATATATATAGGTATAACTGAATCAGTTTGCTGTACACCTGAAATTAACATTGTAAATCAACTATACTTCAATTAAAAAAAGAAAGTTCGGGGCTTCCCTGGTGGCGCAGTGGTTGGGGGTCCGCCTGCCGATGCAGGGGACGTGGGTTCGTGCCCCGGTCCGGGAGGATCGCACATGCCGCGGAACGGCTGGGCCCGTGAGCCATGGCTGCTGAGCCTGCACGTCCAGAGCCTGTGCTCCGCAACGGGAGAGGCCACAGCAGTGAGAGGCCCACGTACCGCAAAAAAAAAAAAAGTAAGTTCTTGGAACTTCCCTGGTGGCGCAGTGGTTAAGAATCCACCTGCCAATGCAGGGGACATGGGTTTGAGCCCTGGTCTGGGAAGATCCCACATGCCACAGAGCAACTAAGCCCCTGTGCCACAGCTACTGAGACTGCGCTCTAGAGCCCGCGAGCCACAACTACTGAGCCCACGTGCCACAACTACTGAAGCCCGCACGCCTAGAGCCTGTGCTCCGCAACAAGAGAAGCCACCGCAATGAGAAGCCCGCGCACCGCAACGAAGAGTAGCCCCTGCTCGCCACATCTAGAGAAAGCCCGCGCACAGCAATGAAGACCCAACACAGCCATAAAGGAAGGAAGGAAGGAAAGAAAGGAGGGAGGGAGGGAGGTAGGGAGGAAGGAAGGAAGAGAAAGAAATTAAGTTCGTTCTTGTTGTTAACATGTAGCCTGGAAAATGAAAGAAGGAATTGAAGTCTTTGTCAAAGAGGGTCTTTTGTGAACAGACCTTACGATTTAGGCTAAAATAATGATTTGTATTCAAAACGGTGACACCAAAGTGATGTCTTCCTTCAGAATGGCTTTGAAATAATCAAAGATCACATCACACTTAGTGAGGTTTTTTTAAGTAAGTGAATTTTTTTGGATTCTTTGGAGACTACAATGGCATCTTTATAGCTCTGTGAACTAGAAAGCCCATTTAACCACTGTGCTAGGTAACTGAAAGAATCACGTTAGCGGCAGTCTAGTTGCTTCATTATATTTGTTTTCTCAACCACTGTGTTTCCTGAGGAAACAGTTTCAGAGAAGGAAGCCTGAATTGGAAAGTGTATCCACATCAGCTCCGATATCTTTCTGCTTCTAGATAACCAGCAAAAGCAAGGAGTCCATATGGGAGTTCATCAAGAGCTTGCTGGACGCCTGGTCGGGATGGGCGGTGATGCTGCTCATTGGCCTGCTGGCAGGTACGTGGAGTGTTTCTCTTGTACTTCAGGCAAGGGGGCTGTTACTTGAAATACCTAAGGGCACAATACACGACGATACACTTAACATAAATCTATCATCAGTAAAGCAAAAAGACCCCAAGGCACGGACAGGCCCAGGTACGGTCATTGGAGCGCGGTACCGAGAAGGCGGGTTGGCCCTTTCCACACTGTACAAAGGTTTACTGCCATGCTGGATTTTATTGAAAACACACATTTCACATTCTATAGTACTTGGCCACGTAGAAGGCGAGAAAGGACGGGAACATGTTGATCTCTAAAAATAAAACATCATATGAGACTGGCCTTTACTAACACCGGCAGGCCCTGAGATGAATTGTAAACATCGAGAGACGCTCACAGTAACGCGAGACACCACAGGGTCTGAGGTAGGCCCGGGGCGGGGGGGTGCCTCCAGCCCTTGGGTTGTTCTGACCCTCAGGGACTCCGTGTCCTTCATTTTTATAATCCCAGCACCATGTTTGTGAGCAGTAGCTGTTTCCAGAATGAATGAATGAGTATCTGGAGGGGACACCTCCCCTTTTAATAGCAAATGCACAGCCCTCCATGGAAATTGTTTCCTGAAACTTACTTGCTTTTAGGAGGCTGTGAAGGTTAATGTCTAAGGAGAAAAAAATTTGATCATGCTGAAGAGATTCCCTTAAGAAACTCCCCCTGCCTGTAGTAACACGCTAGTTCTGGCTATAGGACTGATCAGAGAATGGCTGTGTGATACAGGTTGAATATAGTACATACTCGCAGAGCACCTGTGGGGCATAGGGTAAAATTTTGTGATTAGAGGACTTTGATTTCTGGCTGCCCTGTCACTCGTTACATCTGCAATGGTAGGAGGGGCCTGGTTGCCGGGGAGGGGCTCCCTCTGCCTGGCATGTCCTAAAGGGCCCAGGAGAGTGCTGAAGGGGCAGTCCTCTCCTTCCGGCCACAGCAGCTACCCACCCATTCCGCCCATCCTGTCCTTCCCCTCCCAGTGGCGCTCCCGGTATATATTGGGAGCAGTGCTGGGAGGGAATTCGAGTTCATGGACATATGGCGTTTTGCCACCCATTCGTTTGGCTCTATGAAGTCCTTTAAAGGTAGGTGGGGGGGGAGGGCGGGGAGGGTAGTTTGCTGCGAACTTTGATGTCCTTCTTTAGCATAGATTTATAAAACTGTACCCTGTGTTATTCTTGGCTCCTGGGAAGGAGTGATGAATACGGGAAATGAAGGAATCAGAGTAGATGTCTTGGCGTCCTGCTGGAGTCACGCAGCATAGATTTATCAACTGATCTCAGAGCCCTGTCGGGCTCTCTTTAACAAGTCAGATACCGACCATCGGGCTTCACTGTTAATCCGATTTCCATCAGTTCTTTCAGGAAGAATCACCTGGGGAATTAAAAAAAAGTGCTGCTGCCCAGGCTTCAGTTAAATAGTAGCTCCCTGGAGATGACACCCTATCATTGAGTAAAGCCCCCTTTCCCCTGTGATTCTAATATGCAGCCAGGGGTGAGGACTGCTGGAGAAGGGCGATCCCATGGTCACATTAGCAGATGAACATAGGAGGGAGGCAAGAAAGAGATGATCTTGGCAGTGAAGGTGGCGAAAGTGTTCTTTTGATCTGGATGAAGGAGAAGTCAGAAAACTGCCCCATTCACTTCCCCGTTCCCCAGTGGAGAGCCCCAGGGGTCCCACTGTCTGGCCTGTCACCTCCGTAGTGGCAGGCAGCCCGGCATTATATTCCGACGCCCAAGAGGGAGAGGCCCAAGCTGCGGCTCCTCTGCAGGGCGTTAACCAGGAGCCACCACTGGGTGTCGCTGTTGTTCCACACAAGGCAGTTTTTGTTCCAATGTCGTCATCTGCTTGAGGTGTTCTCTGACCACCTTTTCTAAAAGCACGTCTCCCTCTCTGAGCCTCGTCGCCCTCGCCCACTATATGTATGTATGTGTGTGTGTGTGTGTATGTAACAGCTTTATTGAGATATAACTCACATACCATACAGTTCACCTAGTTAAAGTGTACAACTTGGTGGTTTTTAGTGTATTCACAGTTTTGCAACCGTCACCAAGGCCAATTTTAGAACATTTTCATCAGCTCCCAAAGAACCTTCCTACCCTTTAGCTATCAGCCCCAGTGTCCCTAGCCTCCGCTCAGTCCTGGGCAACCGCTAATCTACTGGCTGTCTCTGTAGATTTGCCTACTCTGGACATTTCATAAAATGGAATCATACAATATATGGTCTTTTGTGACTGGCTTCTTTTACAGCATAACGTTTCCAAGGTTCATCCATGCTGTCGCATGTGTCAGCGCTTCATTCCTTTTTGTTGCCATTGTAGGTGGACCACATTTTGTTTCTCCATTCAGCAATTGATGGGCATATGTGTTGTTTCCACTCTTTGGCTTCTGTGAATATGCAGTTGTGAACATTTGCGTCCATGTCTTGTGTTGGGTGTATGTTTTCATTTCTCGTGGGCAGATGCCTAGGAATGGAAGTGTTTGGTCAGGTGGTGACTCCTTGTTTAACTTTTTGAGGACGTGTCCGACTGTTCTCTTGCACCATTGTAGGAAATGGCTGCCATTGGAACGTGCTGTATTCTCCTCTCTAGCACCTACCACCTTCTGTTGGAGCCCCTCATTTACTTACTTATTCAGTCTAGTGTCTTCTCGCACAAGCTGAGATTCCGTGAAGGCAGGGACCTGAGTTTGCTTTGTTCACTGCTGTACCCCAGGGTGTGGAACAGTACGTGGCACGTAGTACGTAGGTGCTCAATAAATAGCCCTTGAGTGAATGGATGGACCTGAGTTTCCTGATTTTCATTCGTTTGTTGCTCTCATTCATTCAACATGGATATATAGTTCCAGCTATGTACCTGACGTGAATACAATGGCCCTTGCCCACTTAAAGGGGACACAGGGTCTAGACACCTGGCTTGATCCCCACTGTGGCACACAAACCAGACAAGAGACTCCCCCCACCCTTATAGACTAGTTGGAGTGTGTGTGTGTGCATGTGAGGGGTGTGTGTGTGTGTGTGTGTGTATACACATATATATAAATACTGATCATATCAGGATGTGATAGGTATGGTGATGAGGAGTGCCTGGGAAGTATACTTAGCCCAGACTTAGGAAATCAGGGGAGGCTTCCTGAAGGAGGTGATATAAATGCCAGCATCTGGAAGATAAATAGGAGCTTGGCAGGTTGGGGGAGGACAGTGCTATCTGAGGCGGTGCAGAGAGGAGGGCCTGGTGTGCCAAGGAACACTGTGCGGGCAGGGTGTGGGATTCGTGATGGAGAGAGAGGAGCCTGGAGAGAAACGTGGGAACGGCGGTCAGAGCCTGCACGCTGCTGAGGATTCGGGTGTTCTGGGTAGAACAGTGGGCGACTGCTGATGGAACCAGGAGAGTGGCAAGGCCAGGTCGCCTGAGGCTGGCGTGTGGCTGCCTTTGGGGAATTGATGTTCTAATAAGGATCCAGTAAAAGTGTGAAAAGTTTGGTAGCGCAAAGGTATTCCCTGCCTTTGTAAAAGACTGGAATGGGTTATTCTACAAAGAGACCTAAAATGGCCTTCTCTGACCCACTGCACACTCGATTTTATCCCACTCCTATCGGCCTTTAAAGTAGTTACTTACTTATGCAGCTCCTCAGTCCTTTATCCATAATTTTTTAAAAATCCAGAAAGTTCTAACAAGTAAGATTTTTCAAGCTGGATTCCATTTGATGGGGAAACTTTATTTCAATGACGAGGCTGTTATAAATCGTTTTGTCTCCATTTTGTCTGAATTGTCAGGTTTCCTGGAGGATATTCATGTGTGTGATCCCAGCATCCTGCCCCAGAAGCCGCTGAGGGGGTTACATGATTTATAGGGTGTAGGTACCCTGTTTCTAAGATTCGGAAGGGCTGGGTTCTGAAAGCCGCTCGGCCCCAGGGGCTTGCGGTGGGCTCAGTGCTGCGGGTCTCTCCCTCCCACCCTATCGAAGCCCCCCGAGGACAGCGTATCATTGGCCTTTGTGTCTCACTGGGCTGGCCACCACTTTTGCCACACCTGGTGCCCTACCACTCGCTCAGGTGACCTCAAGACTGAAGAAAGAGAGTTCCTGGGTGCGTGGCAGCCTGGGGCACAGGCATCTCCGCCTGGCCCTCCGGGCGCACGTGCTACCCTGGCCCATGCCGGCCGTCCTTCTGAGTGGCTCTCGCTGCTTCTTCCAGGCACCCTGGCCGGGGTCATCGATCTCGCCGTCGACTGGATGACAGACCTGAAGGAGGGCATCTGCCTGTCCGCCTTCTGGTACAGCCACGAGCAGTGCTGCTGGGCTTCCAATGAGACCACGTTTGAGGACAGGGACAGGTGTCCCCTGTGGCAGAAGTGGTCGGAGCTGCTGGTGAAACAGTCGGAGGTGGGTGCAGGGGCGGGTCCTGGCTGGGAGCCCCGTGGCTGGTGTGGGGGGACGTCCGAGCTCTCACCTTGCAGTGTCTGTCCTGACCGTCGTCGTGGCTACTACGAGTGCCACTTGCCACTTGGCTTTTTCTAGCTCTAGGGTTCAAACTTCACTTGGAAAATCCTTTCCCACTGTTTCATGTGCACGATGTGTGTATTTCCTTTAAACCCTTTTGTTTGGCTTTATTTTTCTTACTGAGAGTGATCTCTTGATCATGCTGAAGAAACAGGGTTGCAATGCGATGGCTTTTAGGATATTCAGAGTTGTGCCACCATCACCTCGATCTAATTTTAGAACTTTTTTTTTAACATTTTTTTCATTCAAACAGAAAGTCACAAAAATTATAATCATCGTCATCAGTTCACTCAGTCCCATGTAATTATTTTCATCTTGATCTTTGGTTAGCACTTTTATGAATGCATCAGTTTTCCATTAGAGTTCTGAACATGCTTATTCATTCAGTTCAGCAGTATAGTCAGTTACCAGAAACCTGTACTTGTCAGAGTCTTTGCCATGAGTTCCTTGAAGATGAAACCCTTTTATAGGAACGTTTTTGCAAAAGCATCAGAGTACACCCAGAACGGTCTGTAAATGACAGAAGACTTAAAAATGGCCACGGTTAAAGATGTGATGAAAGTTCATAATGATGCAATTGACAAGGAAACTTAGTTATTTCTGAGATATACATTTTAAAGTAATAACTAGAATTATGACTTATAACATTATACCAGAACATATAAGATTTTTAGGAATTTCATGTAATGTCTGAAACATTTATATTAACATATTTGCATACAAATAACCCAAAGAAAGTTTAGTATTAGTTGTTTTTTTTCTTTTTATACAACACGTTCTTATTAGTCATCAGTTTTATAGACATCAGTGTATACACGTCAATCCCAATCGCCCAGTTCAGCACACCACCATCCCCACCCCACTGCGGTTTTACCCCCTGATGTCCATACGTTTGTCCTCTACATCTGTGTCTCAACTTCTGCCCTGCAAACCAGTTCATCTGTACCATTGTTCTAGGTTCCACCTACATGCGTTAATATATGATATTTGTATTTCTCTTTCTGACTTACTTCACTCTGTATGACAGTCTCTAGATCCATCCACGTCTCAACAAATGATTCAATTTCGTTTCTTTTTATGGCTGAGTAATATTCCATTGTATATATGTACCACAACTTCTTTATCCATTCGTCTGTCGATGGGCATTTAGGTTGCTTCCATGACCTGGCTGTTGTAAATAGTGCTGCAATGAACATTGGGGTGCATGTATCTTTTTGAATTATGGTTTTCTCTGGGTATATGCCTAGTAGTTGGACTGCTGGATCATATGGTAATTCTATTTTTAGTTTTTTAAGGAACCTCCATACTGTTCTCCATAGTGGCTGTATCAATTTACGTTCCCACCAACAGTGCAAGAGGGTTCCCTTTTCCCCACACCCTCTCCAGCATTTGTTGTTTGTAGATTTTCTGATGATGCCCATTCTAACTGGTGTGAGGTGATACCTCATTGTAGTTTTGATTTGCATTTCTCTAATAATTAGTGATGTTGAGCAGCTTTTCATGTGCTTCTTGGCCACCTGTATGTCTTTGTTGGAGAAATGTCTATTTAGGTCTTCTGCCCATTTTTGGATTGGGTTGTTTGTTTCTTTAATATTGAGCTGCATGAGCTGTTTATATATTTTGGAAATTAATCCTTTGTCTGTTGATTCGTTTGCAAATATTTTCTCCCATTCTGAGGGTTGTCTTTTTGTCTTGTTTCTGGTTTCCTTTGCTGTGCAAAAGCTTTAAAGTTTCATTAGGTATTTGTTTATTTTTGTTTTTATTTCCGTTACTCTAGGAGGTGGATCAAAAAAGATCTTACTGTGATTTATGTCAAGGAGTGTTCTTATGTTTTCCTCTACGAGTTTTATAGTGTCCGCTCTTACATTTAGGTCTCAAATCCATTTTGAGTTTATTTTTGTGTATGGTGTTAGGGAGTGTTTTAATTTCATTCTTTTACATGTAGCTGTCCAGTTTTCCCAGCACCACTTATTGAAGAGACTGCGTTTTCTCCATTGTACATCCTTGCTCCGTTGTCATAGATTAGTTGACCATAGGTGCGTGGGTTTATCTCTGGGCTTTCTATCTTGTTCCATTGATCTATGTTTCTGTTTTTGTGCCAGTACCATATTGTCTTGATTACTGTAGCTTTGTAGTATAGTCTGAAGTCAGGGAGTCTGATTCCTCCAGCTCCGTTTTTTTCCCTCAAGACTGCTTTGGCTATTCGGGGTCTTTTGTGTCTCCATACAAATTTTAAGATGATTTGTTCTAGTTCCATAAAAAATGCCATTGGTAGTTTGATAGGGATTGCATTGAATCTGTAGATTGCTTTGGGTAGTATAGTCATGTTCACAGTATTGATTCTTCCAATCCAAGAACATGGTATATCTCTCCATCTGTTGGTATCTTTAATTTCTTTCATCAGTGTCTTATAGTTTTCTGCATACAGGTCTTTTGTCTCCCTAGGTAGGTTTATTCCTAGGTATTTTATTCTTTTTGTTGCAGTGGTAAATGGGAGTGTTTCCTTAATTTCTCTTTCAGATTTTTCATCATTCGTGTATAGGAATGCAAGAGATTTCTGTGCATTCATTTTGTATTTTGCAACTTTACCAAATTCATTGATTAGCTCTAGTAGTTTTCTGGTGGCATCTTTAGGATTCTCTATGTATAGTATCATGTCATCTGCAAACAGTGACAGTTTTACTTCTTCTTTTCCAATTTGTATTCCTTTTATTTCTTTTTCTTCTCTGATTGCCATGGCTAGGACTTCCAAAACTATGTTGAATAATAGTGGTGAGAGTGGACATCCTTGTCTTGTTCCTCATCTTAGAGGAAATGCTTTCAGTATTTCACCATTGAGAATGATGTTTGCTGTGGGTTTGTTGTGGATGGCCTTTATTATGTTGAGGTAGGTTCCCTCTGTGCCCACTTTCTGGAGAGTTTTATCATAAATGGGCGTTGAATTTTGTCAGAAGCTTTTTCTGCATCTATTGAGATGATCATATGGTTTTTATTCTTCAATTTGTTAATGTGGTGTTATCACATTGATTTGAGTATGTTGAAGAATCCTTGCATCCCTGGGATAACTCCCATTTGATCATGGTGTATGATCCTTTTAATGTGTTGTTGGATTCTGTTTGCTAGTATTTTGTTGAGGATTTTTGTATCTATATTCATCAGTGATATTGGCCTCTAATTTTCTTTTTTTGCAATATCTTTTTCTGGTTTTGGTATCAGGGTGATGGTGGCCTCATAGAATGAGTTTGGGAGTGTTCCTTCCTCTGCAATTTTTTGGAAGAGTTTGAGAAGGATGGGTGTTAGCTCTTCTCTAAATGTTTGACAGAATTCACCTGTGAAGCCATCTGGTCCTGGACTTTTGTTTGTTGGAAGATTTTTTTCTTTTGCGGTATGCGGGCCTCTCACTGTCGCGGCCTCTCCTGTTGCGGAGCACAGGCTCCGGACGCGCAGGCTCAGCGGCCATGGCTCACGGGCCTAGCCGCTCCACGGCATGTGGGATCTTCCCGGACCAGGGCACGAACCCATGTCCCCTGCATCAGCAGGCAGACTCTCAACCACTGTGCCACCAGGGAAGCCCTTGTTGGAAGATTTTTAATCACAGTTTCAATGTCATTACTTGTGATTGGTATGTTCATATTTTCTATTTCTTCCTGGTTCAGTCTTGGAAGGTTATACCTGTCTAAGAATTTGTCCATTTCTTTCAGGTTTTCCATTTTTTTGGCATAGAGTTGCTTTTAGTAGTCTCTTAGGATGCTTTGTATTTCTGCAGTGTCTGTTATAACTTCTCATTTTTCATTTCTAAATTTATTGATTTGAGTCCTCTCCCTGTTTTTCTTGATGAGTCTGGCTAATGGTTTATCAATTTTGTTTATCTTCTCAAAGAACCAGTGTTTAGTTTTATTGATCTTTGCTATTGTTTTCTTTGTTTCTATTTCATTTATTTCTGCTCTGATCTTTATGATTTCTTTCCTTCTGCTAACTTTGGGTTTTATTTGTTCTTCTTTCTCTAGTTCCTTTAGGTTTAAGGTTAGATTGTTTATTTGAGATTTTTCTTGTTTCTTGAGGTAGGCTTGTATAGCTATAAACTTCCCTCTTAGACCTTCTTTTGCTGCATCCCATAGGTTTTGGATCATCGTGTTTTCATTGTCATTTGTCTCTAGGCATTTTTTGATTTCCTCTTTGATTTCTTCAGTGATCTCTTGGCTATTTAGTAACGTCTTGTTTAGCCTCCATGTGTTTGTGTTTTTTACGTTTTTTTCCCTGTAATTCATTTCTAATCTCATAACGTTGTGGTCAGAAAAGATGCTTGATATGATTTCAGTTTTCTTAAATTTACTGAGGCTTGATTTGTGACCCAAGATGTGATCCATCCTGGAGAATGTTCCATGCACACTTGAGAAGAAAGTGTAATCTGCTGTTTTTGGATGGAATGTCCTATAAACATCAATTAAATCTATCTGGTCTGTTGTGTCATTTAAAGCTTGTGTTTCCTTATTAATTTTCTGTCTGGATGATCTATCCATTGGTGTAAGTGAGGTGTTAAAGTCCCCTACTATTACTGTGTTACTGTCAATTTCCTCTTTTATAGCTGTTAGCAGGTGTGTTATGTATTGAGGTGCTCCTGTGTTGGGTGCATATATATTTATAATTGTTATATCTTCTTCTTGGATTGATCCCTTGATCATTATGTAGTGTCCTTCCTTGTCTCTTGTAACATTCTTTATTTTAAAGTCTATTTTATCTGATATGAGTATTCCTACTCCAGCTTTCTTTTGATTTCCATTGGCATGGAATATCTTTTTCCATCCCCTCACTTTCAGTCTAGTTCTGAAGTGGGTCTCTTGTAGACAGCATATATATGCGTCTTGTTTTTGTATCCATTCCACGAGCCTGTGTCTTTTGGTTGAAGCATTTAATCCATTCAAATTTAAGGTAATTATTGATATATACGTTCCTATTACCATTTTCTTAACTGTTTTGTTTTCATAGGTCCTTTTCTTCTCTTTTGTTTCCGACTTAGAGAAGTTCCTTTAGCATTTTTTGTAGATGGTTTGGTGGTGCTGAATCCTGTTAGCTTTTGCTTGTCTGTAAGGCTTTTAATTTCTCCGTCGAATTTGAATGAGATCCTTGCTGGGTAGTTATCTTGGTTGTAGGTTCTTCCCTTTCGTCACTTTATCATGCCACTCCCTTCTGGCTTGTAGAGTTTCTACTGAGAAATCAGCTGTTAACCTTATGGGAGTTCCCTTGTATGTTATTTTTCCTTTTTCCCTTACTGCTTTCAATAATTTTTCTTTGTTTTTAATTTTTGCCAGTTTGATTACTATGTGTCTTGGTGTGTTTCTGCTTGGGTTTATCCTATATGGGACTCGGTGCGCTTCCTTTACCATGTTAGGGAAGTTTCAACTATAATCTCTTCAAATATTTTCTCTGGTCCTTTCTCTCTCTCTTCTCCTTCTAGGACCCCTATAATG